GTCGACAGAGAAAGTTTGTACGATGAAAATCTGCATTTTCTGGGTTGTCTGTGTAACTAAACAGCTTGACTCTGTTTCTTCATCAGCTCATTACAACCCTGTTACATCTGTATAGTTATGTGATGTACATGATGGTTCGTTGCCTCCTCGAAAACCAGATTTAATGGTGTATTGCAGTTGCTGCTTGCCTGCGTGCATTTCAGCTTGCCATGTTATTTGGGGACCTGCAGTGTTAAACACAGCTTGCACTATTGTATTCGCGTAAAGTAATCGTTGGCCCACCATGAATAATCCTTCATGAGCTACTGCTGTTTATATGCTACCCGGCAAAATCGATTATATGATGATCGATGCATATTCAGCCGTTTTAATTGGCGAATCATTGCTCCAAGACCAAGTGGACCCGTTAATCGGGTATCAGGAAGGTCACGATACAGTATCGTGAGAAACCTGGACGAGTTAGTTGCCTTACTCCGATATATATGAAATATTTTCGTTATGTTGGTTGGTAGATGTAGTAAAACTTAGTCAATTCAAAATCCTGGGCAAAAATGTTTTAAATACGCCAGACTTCGTTAGTATATGGGAGTGAACTGGGTTCCTCTTTCTTTTGTAGCTGTTTCGATTCAGCTACGATTCAGAGAACGGGCTTTTTGTTAAATACTTTTTTGGCAGAGCCAATCAGCGCACAGTTCATATCCTTTGTCACGGTTGACGTTGTTGCAAAACTGGATGATTGATGCTTTCTTTCTTTCCGCGAGTTTTTTTCTCGTAATGCTCTGCCATTCAGCTCATGTCCTTCCTGTACATCGTGTTGCGCAATCCTGAAACTGTTTTCGCATTGTTCTTTGAACTTGGGATGGGACTTTGTTTTTTTCCAAGAGCTTCTTTGCCACCTGTTGCTTACATTCGTCCGTGATCATCCATCTTCTCCAGCTTTACAGTGTCTGTGTTCTTTGAGTGATAGTGTTCCTTTTTTCTCCTGTATATTATTTTCTTTAGTTACATTGTAAGTTGTAAACCTAGCCTAGTGATTATTATTCTCATAGTTATTTGTAGTCTATGATAGGGTAGAATTACTTGTTTTATTATTTACAGTATTCTTTTTAACACTGTTGATGTTATAAGGCTACTTAGAGTACCTTATTCTACGATTAGTGAATTTAACTGAATGACTATTGTTATTACATGAAGTTAATTTCATGTGCTTTATTTCTTTACTAAATGCATTGCTGCATGTCGTTTATCATTTAAATGTTTATGTGAGGTGAAGTTTAGACCTTTATCACAATAGGTTTACAAAAAACTTTGGTTTTTACCAATTATCAAAGTTAATTATTTACATACCAAGAAATTGTACACTAGGGTAGTTTTCTCTTTCAGTGGTTAATTCAG